TCTTTTTCTTCTCCTTCTTCTTCTTCTTCTTTTTCTTTCACTTCTTCTTCTTCTTCTTTTCATATATTCATATATGTATTTATATATGTATAGCAAAAATTAAAAATAAAATATAATATAATAAAATACATAAAAAAGAAACTATGGACGCTAGTCGGAATGTAATCGCAAAAGGGATTTTTTTTTAAGAGAAGTTGGAAAGAGGAAAATGAATATATAATATCGGTGCTTATGTATTCCATGATTAATAATAATAATAATAATAATAATAATAATAGTAATAATAATAATAATAATAATAATAATAAAGTCTTAAAATAGTCGAAATAGCGTCTCAGTTTTAAGAAATGATTTTCTCTCGCATTTTATTTTTACTTTATTTTGTATTTCCTCCCTTCCTTCCTTCCTCTTTTCCCTCGTTCGTGTTTCTTTTTTTATCGAAACTAATGGAGCTTTGATTGTGCTTGATAAGAAAATGGTAAAAAAATAAACCCGTTACGAACGTGCGTTCTTGTTGCGCCGACTCTTTTCATTATTCGAGGGAGGGTTGGGGAAGTAGGTTGAGGGATAATGGTAGTTTTGGGTTTAGATGGTAGGGGAAGAGGATAAGAAAAGGGACAGATGGGTACTTAATATACGTAGTTTCTTTAATATTTTTTTTTTATATCCGATTACTTTTTTCCGTTATTAAAATTAGTGTTTCCGTTTATTAAAGCCGTGCGATTCAAACATCAACATTGACAAACTTTAATAACATACTTATTAATCGCACATTTAACGCGAATAATCATCATCTCTTTTTTCGAACACGCTTTAATGAAACTTTTTGCCATTTCTCTCTCTCTCTCTCTCTCTCTCTCTCTCTCTTTCTCTCTCTCTCTCATACAATCTCTTTCTCTCTTTCTTTCTCATTGAACTTTAACAATATAGATATACCTTCAACTTTTTTGGACGAATTCCACGTTTCCATTTCTTTTCTAGGGCACGAGAGTATGCGCGATTAGGATTCGCGCCAAACTGTACACGTAACGTACACGTGGCTCAACAAATTATAGCTTAATTAGGACGAAACGAGGATATTTTCAGCTCTTTTGCGTTTAGTGTCAATCTGTTCGTCTGTTATTTATCTCTGTTCTCTGTGCGCGTTTATGTGTGTGTGTGTGTTGTGTGTGTGCACGCGCGCGTAAACGTATGCGTGTGTCCGTTCTCCTTTTTATATATATATATTCTGCTTATTATTAAAAATGTGATTTTATATTTTGTTATATTTAATTTTATTTAATTTCTTTTTTCTTTCTTTTTCTCAAAATGAATTTATGATCTTTCACTCACAACACGCGGCACGCGAGATTCGACGCTGTTATATTCCTCTGACGTCTGTTTGCTTTAATTAATAACTACAAGAGAGAATAAACATAATCGCGAAAGAACATATAAACTTGGTCGATACTGTTTCGAGAGTACATAATCGTGAGCGTGTTACATCGTAATTAATACTATCCAATTAACATCAAAACGAGGAAGCTTTGATCTCGTTTTCTCTTTTTTTTTTTTTTTCTTTTCTTTTTTAATGTTACACTTCATTTATTTATTTATTTATTTTATTAATTTTGTTTAATTATTATAATTACTTTTATTAAACTTTTCTCGTTTCACTGTTCTTCACAGTTTTGGTTAGAGATGGAGTTATTTTAACAAAGCCCTTTTTATCTCTTTTCTCTTGCAAATCTTCTCTCTAACGGCGGCATAATAATTTTTTTTCTTTTTTCTAACGATAGTTAATCAAAAGATTTGTCGCGAAACGGTTTATAATTAAAAACCACGAGTGGAGATTGAAACTTTTTGTTTGATCCATTTTTTTCTTTATCTTATCTCTTCGTGATTAAAAACCGTGTTCCATCGCTTACTGTGTATCGTTATCGTCATCATCGTTATCGTTATCATCGTTATCATCATCATCATCATCATCATCATCATCATCATCATATCATCATCATCATCATCATCTTCTCGTTGATTTTTCATCGTACCGCACTTCGCGTAAGATCGCACTTTCTTCGAGCTAACGATGACGACAAGACGCGCAACACTGCTTCTGATAAAATGGCACTTTGCATATGTTCATAAATTTCACTCTGTTGCATAATGGCGATTGATCTTTACAGTCATCTGTAAAACAAAACAAAAGAATAAAATTAATTTGTTTTGCATTACAACTACAAAATAAGCAACTAAATTTTATAAATCAGAGACGTTTAGCTAAATAGACCCGTATCAATGTGTATTTTATTTTAAATTATAACATTAAAAATTATTTCTATATTTTTATTTTAATTAGAAATTATTAATTATTTTTTTCTAATGCACTAATATAACTAAATTTTGTACGCATTGTTTAAAAGATGCATGCGGATTTTATATCCGTTGTTTGCGAATTATTGCAAATGGATTAAGGATATTATTATAGTAAAATAATACCTGGAAATTGAGGACAAGGTGGACCTTTGCACGTTTTCATTACCGGTGGTCTTGGTAAATCTCTGCACGCGTTACCTGCTGGTTTTTTTGTTCCATACCATACACATTGCAGTATCCTATACTTTATACCATCCTTTTCGCAAGATGCAATACACTAAAAAATACAATTTATAAAATCATTTTCTTTTTTTTATACTTTATAACAATTTTCATAAACCATTTTCAAATAAATTTGATTAAATTACCTCAGACCATTCACCTACTCTCCATACACCTTTACAAGCATCGTTATAACATTCCTGCCTTTGTAAAGGTCTAGTTGCTTCATCACATTTATTCAGATCTAATTGAGTGATATTTTGTCGGCCATCTTCCAATTCCCCGATCAATCGACAACTAATATCTCGCCTTTGCATGGCCGTTTTCCAATTAAAACACCTCGAAGATTCGCAATTCGTCCATTCGGTTGTATGCCATTGTGGACATCTTTCAATTCCGCAAGGTCTTACTTTCTGTGGCATTGGATGTCCTGCGTCTTCGCACAAAGTTGCACCTATCACTGTTCTCGGTGGTAAACGGCTTGAATTTTCCGATTTTATTGGACGCATCGTACATTGTGCACCACGCATCTAAAATATTTTTTGAATCCTTGTTAACAATGTTCAATTTTTATCACAATAGTTATTTATTTAATTTTGTTAATTTACCTGGAAACCACTACCCCCACAAGTTTGGGAACAATCCGACCAATTAGTTGTCACCCATTCAAAGACCAGGTCTTCTGTATTATCTGTAATAATATAAAATAAATATTTTAATTATAAATTTAATCAAATAATCAAGTATCTTTTCAGATAGAAAATAATAATTTTTATTTAGGAAATCTCTTTACCAAAACCACCAATCGAACCAATTATAGAATCGGTTTTCCCCATGCTATCAGTCGTCGTAAATATATCCATCAGAGTTTCCTTGGAGGTCCCTCTTGAATTATCTCGATCATGTCTATGAGATAATTCCTTTGTGATTTGTTCAGTCGATTTTGAATCAACGTGTTCAATGCTAGGTAACGTTGATTCTTCCATCGTTGTTGAATTTTCATTAGTTTCTTCAATTTCTAAAGATCTAGCTGATGAAATAGTACGATCCTCGTTGAAATCATTAGCTCGACGTTTTTCTAATTCGTCTACGTAGATCGAATCATTCGTATTTGATTTATCATCGTTTTCATAATTAAAGATTTTCGTTGAAATTTCAGTATCTTCGAGATTCGTTGATGCAACTGTACGAGTTAATGTATTTTCTTCATTCGTTGCTAAAGAAGAAGCAACATTTTTCGTGGTAGAATCCTGAATATAATAAACATCTAATCCAACATTATCCGAGGATCCTGCTGAATTGATCGTCCCGTCGGAATAATCGTTGAAACTATTATTTTTTTGATGTTTCACAACATCTTGCCAATGCCTTTTAACATTTTTCAACGATTCCTCGACGTAATCCATGTTAGATTTCGTAGCACTCGGTGAATCTTTTTTCTCCAATAAATTAGATGTTTGTTTATTAGTGTCTTCTTGTTTTATACCAAATATGGCTGAGTCCAGATCGTAGGGATCAACATTGATGAATATTCTTTCCTCGCCTGGTTCGAGAACATCGTCAGGAATGGCTGTGTTTCGATACAAGTCTTCGAAATCGTCCTCATCAAAATTGTGATACCTCAGATCAGTTTTTCTGTCGGGCATTGTACGTTTAGTTGCCATTGAAACTTCTTTATGAGTATCATCGATGAACGTAACTGGTGCTGTTCTATGACTTCTGCTGGAACCTGTGCTACTTTGGAATGGCCAATAGGCCTAAAAAAAAATAAAAAACCAGTTACTTGTGAAGTAATAATTTGCAATGTAAAACAGTTTTGATGAATCATTAGACAAAATTAGGAAAATAATATTGAAAGAGTCCGCACAACCGGTGTCGTCAAGCACTATAGTACAACCTCACCTTTATGCTCGAAATGATATAACTGAGGTGAGGCATCAGACTAGTTGCACCGGACGTTGGTGTTGATTCTACGGATTCGTGATATCCGGGCTGACGTTATAAAGTTGAATTTTAAAATCCATTAAAAGAGAGAGAGAGCAGGCAAAGAGAAAGAGAGAAAGATGATTTTCTATATTAATGGGACAGTAATACGTACTACCATGCGTAGATTAATTTCACACAATTTCTATATTAATTAAATGAAATTTAAATAATAGGAATAGATTATTATCATAGACATTTGATATTTGAAATACAATAAGTTATGTATGAATGTATATAAGTACCTGATTCAAAGAGGTTATAGTATGCTCTTTGTGCATCATGGTTGAATCTGGTGGGGTTGGACTGGTCCTTTGTCTTTTGTGCTGTGGTTTTCTCGTTGGTTTACTCGGAACCGCTCGTTCGTGGCTTAAGTCTTCTCCATCGATAGGAGCAAAGTGATTACCATAAGCGGCTAGTAGAGAATACGCAATGAACATTGTGTGTTATATTTATTATTACATTTGTTTAGTTAAATATTATAATAAAAATAATTTAAGTTCGTCGAAGGAATCGTTTATACCTGCACGATCGGTGTAAAGATTCTCACCGGAATTGGCTGGCGCCGAATCTAGATTAGCATTTCTTTGAAGATGTACGGAATTGCCAAGTCGTAGATATTCCTCACTGCTTATCTGTTCTTTCGAGCGTAACTTCACGAAGATACGTGTCTCAGCGCGCGAAAGGGATGCTACAAATATGATAAACAATGTTTAAAAAAGAATAGAATTGTTATTATTGATTTGCTAGAAAAATTCATAATAAATAATATTTGTGATATAATGTATAAACACATTTTTTTTTCTCTTTACCGTTAAGAACTTTTCGGACACAATAATTTTAGAAAAATATTTATTAAATATTACACAAATATTAATCGTTACGAACTTTCCAGGCAATCCAGTAATGGTAATTTAATCAATGACTCACCAACGCAAGCGTAAACTCCACTATCGGACGTGTTTATGTCCATGATTTTGAGTGCACCCTTTTTGTTGATTTTATATTTTCTCGTTCTTCGTAATTCTTTGTCATCCTTCATCCAGATAATTTGTGCTCTGTAATAGAAATAACAATATCAACTTTCCTAAACAAATAATATCACTTAAGGTTTCAGAGGAAAACAAAATAGTATCATTCCTTACTTATCGAATTTTTTAACAGGACATCTAATCTTGATAAAGACCGTCCCTTGAAATATCCTAGCAATACCGCCTATTTTTAGATCAACTTTCTCGTTCAGATCCGACTGATTATACGTAGAATTTTGACTAAGAATGATTGGTTGCACGTTCATGTCCATCTCGTGACACGGTTTCGTGTTGCACGGTTTTTCGGAGGATGGCTTTTGCGGCGGGCATTTATTTTCTTCCCGTCTCTGTTTGCGACCCAGTGCCATTATTTGCTCGCAGGTCACGTTTCGCCTCTTTACCCCTCCGCCGCAACTTTTGGAACACTGCGAATAATCGAGGTTCAGACACGAGACCAATGTGGAGAAGGTCATGCGGTTAGTCTCTATTTATCTCTCTCTTTTTTTCTTTCTCTCTTTCATACACATACACACACACAAACACACACGCATATACAGAACACAAAGAATTTAATTTTGTATTCGGCAGAACTTTGAGATTTCTTTCACTTATTTATGTATGGTCTCATTAATTAGAAATTACAAATATTTGTAATAAATTTGGACATACGTAAAATCGAATCAATCGTATCAGGTTAAAAATATGTATGTATGTGTATATATATATTTAGAGAAAGTACCTCTCCCCATTCTCCCGTGTTCCACTTGACCGGACAATCCAACACGTTACAGTATTGTCTGTCTGCTGGTGGTGGCTGCGGACACATATGGTTTGGTACCGTCACGGTATTACTGAATCCTCGTGCCACCTCGTGTATGCATGTGACATCGCGAGTTTGAATGCCAATACCGCAGGGGCTCATGCAGGGTAAGAACTCGCCATATCTCCACCTGTGGTTTAACATAACAATGCATTGGTTACATCCTCTGACACTAAATAATTACATTACAAGTTCAATTTATATCGAAGCTAATAACATTATTACAATCATTTGAACAGCGTTATACATTAACAGACCAAGTGGTAGTATGTTAATTTTTAATTATGAACCATTTTCCGTTCCATTTATTATTACAAAGACAAGACAACGCTTGATCTTTCAATGAATTGTTTAAAAGGTAGTATAAGTGTTTTTTTAATAGATAATATAGCCGTAACTTCATTTAGTAGAGAAGTTATCCAACACGTTATATTTATTATATTACAAATATACTACCTACAGTGAATATTTCTTCTTTAATATTATTTAATATCAAATAGGAATAATTAATATAAATATAAATTTATTTACCTAGGTGGGCATGGATGATCATTGCAAGTACGGATTCTCGCCTCCGGTTTAGTTTCCGCACTGCAGAGTAACGGAGTCACGGTTTTTCCAGTATCGTCTCGTATGCAGTTTATTATTAAATCTTGCACGCCTAGAATCGTTTGTAAAAATGTCAAAAAAAAAATGTATGTCAACGTATCCTTCGTTTTGGGGTTAAATACACGATCTTTGTATAGGATCGCGTACGGCATCGTGCTGTACGCTTTTCATCCAATTGATTTTGGCTAATTGAATCGTCGGATAGTGTTTCCAACGGAGGATTGCTAATAGCACGACGCCGTTAAATCGACCGCTTTGATTAGCCAGTTGGGATGAACATTTATCGGATTAGTAATCTTTAGTAATCCCGTTCGATACGCTAATTGATTGCTTTCTTAAGGTATTTTATTCTTTAAATATATTCTTATTTTTTGTTGTTTAAATGATTTATATAAGTCATTATGGATGGAATCAAATATTATGTCGTTCTAAAAGATTTTTCTTTTAAAATAAATTTTACGTGCACAATATATTAAATACGCGAACTTAAATTTAAAAATCAGTCTATTTTAATAATAAGTAGTAAAAACCAAATATGGTCTGACCAAAGTTGACCATTACTACTAGTGATCTAACATAACACTCTAATTGTGAGCTTCCTCTAATTTCATTATTCGCAAATGGGTCGCATTGTCTTAGTAGGATCTAATAAAATCTATGGTCTTGAAATAACGAAGAGATAAAGGAATGTTGTTACTAAATAAAGGGAGGTTGGGTAGAAAGGAAGGAAGGAAGAAGGAAGGAAGGAAGAAAGGAAGGAAGGAAGGAAGGAAGGAAGGAAGGAAGGAAGGAAGGAAGGAAGGAAGGAAGGAAGGAAGGAAGGAAGGAAAGAGAAACACAAGATAAGATTGTAAAGCAGAAGTCTTCGATCGATATATATATATAAAACAAGACTTTACCTCCTAAGCAAGTAGCGCTACAAGGCGTGTAACCTGTTTCCTTCCAGGAGTAAGTGGTTTGCACGTTTCTTCCTGGGGCCACTTTGATGCCACTTTCGTAACCACTGGCACTACCAGATGTTAAACCACTTCCCCCACCATTTCCAGAACTAGCTGAAGATTTGTAGGTATCCGTCAAACTGGACTCGGCATATCCGCTATCCCCAACGGTGTCGATCCCATACGGTAAACTATTTTCCATCAAACCGCAAGGTTCCATCACGCATTTCTCCGTCTCCTCGGGTTTCGGTCCGGAACATTGTATATCTGGTAAATTGGCCATCGTACGACTGAACTCGAGGAATATCTTGCAGTGAACTTCCCTACTGCGTATCCCATCTCCGCAGGTTACGCTGCACGGTGACCATTCCTCTGCGATGAACCTGAGAAATTCTCTAATGTAAATATTCTTCTCTTCGATCGAACACGAAACAATCCTATTCATTAGAATTGCATGAATCGTGAAGAAAAGATTTATTTAATGATAATAATTATGAACGACTAAAGAAAAAATGAAATTCAATCAACAACTACTAAACGCAAAGTAATGTGATGGTCCTCTCACGGTGGTTTTTTTTTTTTTTTTTCTTTTTTTTACCCCATTCTTTTCTTTTCCTCTTCTTCTTTCCTTATTCCACTTTCTCTTTCTTATGTTTTTTTTTTCCTTTTTCATATTATTTAATTAACAACTCTTTCTCCATACTTTTTTTTTTTTTTTTTTTTAAGACCGGGGTGAGAAATCAATTCGCATTAAATACGTAAGGGATCTCGTTAATTTTACGATCAAATTTCATTTTATTTTTTACCCCCTTCGCCTCGAGAACCATCTTATATTTCTTTACTACCAGTTTCGTAAAAATCGTCGAATTTTCTTTTCTTACCGGTCGAAGGGGCTCGGGTACTTTCCATCATCGATTATCGCGAGAGCATATATTTTCCATAGATTTATTTTTTTTTTCTTTTTTTATCGAAGGCGCACTTAAAACCACGCCTTCCATTCGCCCGTCTCACTCATCTATTCAAAGAGCTCGATCAGCCCATTGAAACTTACATCCGTGAGTACTACCCTTTTTCTTTCTCTCTCTCTCTCTCTCTCTCTCTCTCTCTCTAACACACACATTCTCTCTTTTTCTTTCTTTGCCTTTCTTAAGCGCGCATCAATCAATAATATTTTACTTGCTGACAGTCTTTTTGCAATTTATCTCTTACGGATTAATTGAATAATTAATTTCTTTACATATATATATATATATATTTCTTATTTTCTTATTTCCTTTCTTTTTTTTTCATTATCATTATTATTACGGAAGATCTACGTCGTAGGAAGGAAGACTAGCTACATCGTTCCAGTTGATTTTTCTTTTTCCAGGTACGAGCAGACGTCGTTCTTCTTCTTTTTTTTCTCTCTTCCTCTCTCTGTACTACTATAATATTTTCTTTTTTATTTTATCTTATTTTATTTTATTTTATTTGTTTTTTGTTTATAAATTTCTTTACTCTCTTTTTCTCTCTCGGAGAAAATTCTAATTTTTATCTTCGTAGAAACTTTTCGAGATAAGCTAGTTGCACGAAGAAGAGTTTTATTGTAAGAATAAAGTATGATCATTTAGAAAAAGGAATTTTTAGGCACATGCAAAGCTCACATGTATACATGTATATATATGTGTGTGGGTGTGTATGTGTGTATGTGTGTGTAGGGTATATTAAGGTACAATAGAGCTAACTAGAATGATGGTGGTAATGATGATGAAAAAAAAAATAAGAAAATAAATAAAAGAAAAGAGAGAAAGTGAGAGAGAAAGAAAGAAAATAAGGGATGGATCGAACAAAGACGTGAGATTATGCGAGAGATTAATGATCTTTCAACGCAATTAATTACTTCGATCGCTTTGTAAAAGAAAGGGGTGGAAAGAAGAAAGAAAAAAAGAAAGTAAAAGAAGGAAGCATTAACAGCACTTCAGTACGGCTGTGAATCGACAAAACGTGCATGGGATCAACTATGAAAGAAAAAGACAATTAAATTGGGGGTGGGGTAAGGGGAACATAACCCAGAGAGAAACAGAGAGAGAGAGAGAGAAACAGAGAAAGAAAGAAAGTAAGAAAGAATGAATTTCTACTATAGTTTAATACGAGAAATGCTTTAGGAACACCGAGGAGAGCTTAAATAAGAGAAAGAGAGAGAGAGAGATAGATAGAATAAGAGTGAATGAGATAGAGATAGATACATCTATTTATTTAGCCAGTATTTTTAGATGTTTATATATATATTTTGTAAAATAAATGATCAGTATAGATAAAAATTTGTATATTCTTATAAAAGGGATAGGTGTTTGCATTAGGATTGTGTTAAGGTTACATTATTTAAATATAAATGGAGACTATCTTTTAAAATGACTAAAACTTTATCTATTATCTCTTTCGTTCGTACATAACTATCGTTGTATGGTATATATGTATATGTTACCGTCGAAGCAGGGAATCAGTCATTGCTAGTAATTCCTCAGCATTCTTAACAATGTAAAGCAAAGTTGTACAATTTATAGCATTGCAATCTCTGATATTTCTTTGAAAAGTTTCGGTAAATATTTTTTATACCAAAACGAAATAGATTTTAATGATTCTTATATAAAATTAAAGTACACTCTTTTGTCTAATCGTAGAATACCATATCGAGTTATAAATCAATTTGCAAAGGTTCAGAAAATGTCAGAGAATGCAATGCTGTAAATAGTGCATCTTTGCAATTTCTTTGAAAAGTTTTGGTAAATATTTTTTATACTAACAGTGAATATATTTTAATAAAACTTATACTAAATTAAAGTTCACTCTTTTGTCTACATGTAGAATACCATATCGAGTTATAAATTTAGCATGTAAAGTTCAGAAAATGTCAGAGAATGCAATGCTATAAATCGTACAATTTTGCTTTACTTTGTTAAGAATACTGAGGAATTACTAGCAATAACTGATTCCCGGCTTTGACGGTAACATATATATGTAAATATACTGGTTACCAGTATCGAAAGGGTTAATTATTATTGATCATTTATATCACAAATTGATATTTTTTATTATTAATATTGACCTAATAAATAGCGGCTATATAGAAATAGACAGACAGATGGATAAAGAGTATTAAAAAAGTAGTTTAAGTAGGGAAATAAAAAAAAAAAAGAGTAAAAAGTAAAATAAGAATATTGAGAAAAAGAAGAAAGAGAAATAAATGTAGGATCAATAAATAATAATTGAAGTTGTAAAAGAAAAAATGAAATAGATTGACAGAAAGAGACACAGTAATAGGATACCTCAGATACAACCAGCCACAGGCAAAGTAGATCGTATATCTGTCGGAACAGACCAATTGACATAAAGAAATAAATGCTGTGTTTTAAATTGGTTCGGGGGTCTGTATCACTATAGTAATACAAATATACTTGGGATGAACATATACACGCGTATACATAAATACGAGTAAGCACGATAAAGCTTTATGAGAACACATCGATACGCAATTATAAGTTTTCGGTGACTCGATCTACGGAATATAATAGATAGATAGATAGATAGATAGATAGATAGATAGATAGACAGATAGATAGGTAGACAGATAAATAGATAGATAGATAAATAGATAGATAGATAGATATATGTGTATGTGTATAGTTCTTTTTTTTTTATATCTTTTGTTCTAATATTTATTACTTACGTCGATTCAGATGGGATTGGTTGATCGATCAATTTTTCTGGCACCGGTGGTGGTGGATACGGTTGCATCAATGGTTGAGTTAAATCTTCCCCATCTTTGAAATATATAATCATAATATTATTGTGGATATTTTTACAAAGTAATTATGTTTGTTTTTTTTTTTTTTTTTGATAATATGATTGAGAACAATTTTCGTTAATTTATTTATTAAAACATTCTTCCCCTAATTTTAATGTCAAATTTTGTAAATATATTTATTTAAAGAGTTTACAAAGTCCAAATTTGGATGTTCTGTTATTTATATAATATTTGAACTTACACATGTTACATGCCACATTCGTTTTGCATTCTTGTTCGGCTCGTGGTCGTTCTAAGGGGTCACAGCCAGTTGAAATCAGACCGTTTCCATCTCTGCATTCGATACTTCTCCTTCGAAAGCCGGTACCACAGGATGCTGAACACTGTTGAAGAAGTAAAATCTATTAAAATTGTGATCGAGTCATTGTAATCTTTAAATTTTGATGTCGTACGACAGGATGTAACAACCGATGAGTTATTTTTAAAAATATAATATATATATAGTACAATAATTTATAACAATAAATAAATTTTGAAATAATATAATTAAACTAAACGTTATATTAAATCCTGTCGTATAACGTTTTGGTATTTTAAAATAAAATAAAAAAGAAAGAGAAAAAAGAAAGAAAATTCTATAAAAATTGTACGAATAATCGTATTTGAAGTTAACAAAGCTGTGCTAAATCTAAGTTACGTTAAATCATTATTATTATTATTGTTCCACGTTCTTTCTTTAAACATCGTAATAACCTAACGCAAATACAACGTTAATGGTTAAAGCACTTCCTTAGGCATAACATTAGATATACCATTATTTGAACTCATCTCGCTACTGTGGACTTTATCAAGTATAATTACTAGTCTTCTAAACTTCTAAATTGGCTGTGCCAAAGAAAATCTATTATTTATTATTTAAATTCTTAAAGATGAAATATATATCACACTACACTATTCTACATTTACATTTCTTTGCAACACTAACTGCACAATATCCATATCTTTAATATTATCCAAACTTTAATTAAAAAGCCGAAAAAAATTGTCGCCCTAAAGTAATTAACATTAATGGAAGGTTACATAAGATTTGTCATTAAGAAAAAATTGACTTTCACAATTCGATAAATATAATATAATTCTAAACAAAATTATACGAGCACTTTTTTTCCATTCGATATTTTTTTTTATTCAAACTTAATTTCATAGAAGAAAAGACATTGGCGCGTCACAAATAATAATATTATTCATGGAATAATAGTGGCTTGAAATTTTTTTATTTTCTCGCAATAAATTCGCGCGTATCGCTTTTTATCTGATAAATATGAAAAGAAACAAAAAAAAAAAAAAACAAGAAAAGAAAGAGAGAGAGAAAAAAAGCGTAAATACTTTTTTCCCCCTTAATTTGCATACGAAACGTAGAATATCATTTTTAATTGCATAATTCTCTCTCTCTCTCTCTCTCTTTTTTTCTTCCCATCTCTCGATTATTTCTCTTTCGTCGAAGTGAGTTAGATCGTGTCTGTGGAAATCCCAGGAGCTGATCTACACTCGGTCGTTCTAGGGTTCAGCGTGGAGCGACGTAAATCGAACAAGAAGAGAATGGGGGAAAGGATTATCTTCAGGATTTTGCTGAGAGACGGGTCATCCCCACCCTGGTTCTTTCTCTCTTTCTCTCTGTCTCTCTTTCTCCCTTTCTCTATTTTTCTTTCTCTCTGGTAAATGGTAAAGTCGCGAGGCGAAGAATCGTTCTCCTCTACGTTTCTGCACATCGCCTTTGGCGTTTCGTTACTTTTCGGTGGGAATAGAAGGTAGAAGTTTTTTGGTAGCACGAGGTAGCTGCGAGAGAGCTTCATCGGTTTGCCTGATATTCGTCGAAAGGATTGAACAGTTGAAAATCAAAGAATAAGAGAGAGAGAGAGTGAGAAAAAGAGAGAAAGAAAGAAAGAATGAGAAAGAAAAAAACAGAGAACGGAGAGGAGAAAGAAAGAAAAAAAGACAGAGAGAGAGAGAGAAAGAGAGAAAGAGAAAACGAAAATGTGAGTTTGTGTATGACAATGAGAAAGTTAGTGTTTGTGAAAGAGAGAGTTTATGCATAAGAGTTTACGTGTGTGGATAGTAGAAAATCTATGAGTATAAGAGAATATGTATGACACTGAGAAGATGTAGGAAAATGAGAAAGAAAGAGAGAATGTGTGTATGTGTGTATGTGTGTGTGACATTAAGAAAGTATTCGAGAATGAGAAAATGTGAGAGAATAAGAGAATATGTGCGAGAGAGAAGGGTGGGTATTAGAGTGAGAAAGTGTATGAAATTGAGAGAGTGTATTTGCGAAAGAAAAAGAGAGAGCGAGAGAGAGAGAGAGAGAGTATTCGAAGGGAGAAACAAAAGGGAAAGGTTGTGGAAGAGCTGAGTTGTGAGAGGAACAAGAAGGTCGAACGCAAGAGTTATCGTTCAAGACGTCGAATGTGTAAAAGGTGACGCGAAGGGAAAAGCGGAAATCCACTCGACTTAGCCGCGTTACCTCTCCTTCTCTCTCTCTTCCTCTCATTCTCTTTCTCTATTTAAAGCGATGAAAGGTTAAAGGAAGAGAAACGTAGAGAGAGAGAGAGAGAGAGAGGAAAAGGGGTAGAGTGCTTTAAGGAGCCCTGTGCTTTCGGTTCAATATTTGCATGGCTTCGAGGCTCACAAAAGAGAGAAATCTATCAATTCCTGTCTTCCAAGGCGCTTCGAATTCTCTCTCTCTCTCTCTCTCTCTCTTTCTCCTTCTTGTTCTTATTCTAGCCTGTTCGTTCGTTCGTTCGTTCGTTCGCTTTAGCCTCGGATGAAATCATTACGATGCTTTACTGACGGGTACGAGGCTTTTGTGTATCGCTAGCGAAAGGGTGCCTCCTTTCCGTTGTCCCCCCCCTTCACCCCAACCAACCAACCCCGTCCCATCCCATTTCACCTCTTCGCCATCCTTTTCTCTTTCTCTCTCTCTTTCTCTATTTTTTCTTTTCTTTCTTTCTTTCTTTCTTTTTATCATAGAAAGTGCCAGATGAAGAGAGATAAATCGCAAAAGCGAACTCTCGTGCATCGATCAGCTACGAAACGCCGTAAATCATGACTTGCGTACTTTCGACAATACATACATATATATATACACACACACACACACACACATAATACATAAACGTATTATAAAGATACAAGCGAATGTATAGCCAAGAAATTCTCACGATGGTACCTACCCTCAACTCCACTTTTGTACACTTTTCCTTCTTCAGCCACCCACTAAACTACTCCCTTCTCGAAATACATTGTATGTAAGACATTTTCCGGCGTAACGTCTCGATGGATTTTATAACAAAGAACACCTCAAGGCTAAGAGAGAGTGTTACTTACGGTGCTAGGAAATCGTCGAAGATTCGATTTTTGTTCGCGTGCGCTAGTTCACTAACAACATGCATACACACGTACATACCTGTGCGTATATTTGTAGGTTTATATGTACGTATAATAGAGTTTTTTAGTAAACGATACATCGAGGACGACTATGAAATATTTTCATGGGATTTGTGGTAAACAGATATTACCCTCGATATCATAGAATTCAATCGTTTTCTACACGGTTGCGGTTAAATCGAAAGAAACCATAGAGTAATTTAACCAAGTGTTACTTATTTATTCCGTTCGTTTATATTTTATACATTATCAGTCTAAAGTTTTGTGAATTATTTATTAATTGAATTATTTTTTAAGAGATTTCAACATATTCTTTTTTTAGATCTATAATAATACTCTTGTATAGTCAGTTACTAGTTTATGGCAATGTTTGGAATTGAATTTTCTTATTTGAATATTTTTAGCAATTTCTATAAGAATCATCAGGGAAAAATATTTAATGAGAAACATTCGAAAAACTAATCACTAGGAAGACTAGAATATGTCAGACTGTCATTAATTTCTTACACAAAAATCATATTTCTCTGAATTCTATGTTATAATTTTGAACTTTCAGCCAATAGTGTATACGTTTACATTCGTACATGTAATATTCGTTTATTTCAAGGAACAATAAGGAAAATTGTGAGAGAGAGAAAAATTTTCAAAGCATTTGATAAAAATTGATACATAAAGGAGTGTTTTTTAAAATACGTGGGTATACCTCGAGGGGTGATTTTAGGTGGTTCTAGGGATGAAAATGTAATAATATCGGGCATACAATTGTGTACGAACAATTTTTCTTATTTTAGACTACCGAAATTATATAGTATATCTTGAAACACCCTTGGTATATGTATTGATATAATATATAAATGATAAAAATCTAGATATATATTTCGAAAAAACGATCGATAAGGTATTTTCTATTTGTACGTTTTATTTATCTATTTCGATTTGTTTCGAAAAGAAAAAAAGCAAAGAAGAGATTCTACGATTTAGGAATTTATCGTCGACGATCTTTACGTTGCACATTCTACTACTACTACAACTACTACTACTACAACTACAACTATACAACTATTACTATTAGTATTGGATAGACAATTTCGAAACGTTTCGAAACAATCGTAGTAGTAGTAGCACCTTTAACTTTAACGATCGAGTGTTAGGAATCGTCCTTGCGATTTACGAAACGTCTCGTTGTACTATTTCAAATAGCGCCTGTTACTTTAATAAATACCTATCCGATTTGAGAGAGTCGAATACATTTAACGGCCTTATGAATAAATCATAAGTATAACGTTGCATACCATAGGGAACACTCTTGGCGATTTTTCACATTTCTACACACCATAGGGAAAATGAGAAAGAGAGAAAGATAGAGATAGGTAGAGATAGAACATGGAAGAACAGAAGACAGAATTTATCTCGCGATTTTAATACGCAAAACCAAACGAGATTGCCATCGTTGTGCTGCTAAGATTTTTATCTTTTTCACAAAATTTGTTTACCTTTTCAAATTTTACGTATGATATCTGTTGACGTCATCTTCATTATCATTACGCGATCATAATGGTTGATTAAAAGATCTTTTAAATGAGAGAGAGAGAGAGGATATACGTTTCGTTGGTTGTAAGGATTTTATGTGTAATTAATTAATTTCAAGATAAAATAATTAGAAACTTTGTTTTTGGGTTGATATTTTTGAATCTCATTACGTTTCTCATATGTTTATTTGATTGCATTGTTTAATTAATTAGATATTCAGTAAAATTTAAGTTTAAAATAAAATCAAATGATATTAATAATATAGTCAAGGATATTTTAATATATTTTATATATTTTTTTATAAATTTTAAAATATCACGGATCAATCACTTGTTAGTCATTATTAAAGATAATATTTATATAATTTTGTTTTTTAATAATTATATAGTTTAAATGCAGAGTATGAAAG